ATTAAGTTGGTATGTTCATAAACATCCAAACTAACATACAGAATGTAATTATAAAACTACATAAAAATCTAAACCCATGTGAATTCTAAGCTAAAGAAATTAGTGTGTTGCTTATGAGAGCTACGCTAAGCCTACTGCAACAAAAGGTTCAATCAAATTTGTCATCTAAGGTTGCAAGGTAAGGTGTGAATATATCCTGTATATAAAAATTGTATTTAAATACACAAATGCACTTAGCTTTTACCTACTATTACATATTATGCTACAAAAATAACACATCTTGAAGAATTCAAGTGACAAATATCTAGGAAGCATACCCAGTATGCATATAATCATCTATCACTTAAATTACAACTCAATTAACACTTAACACTGCCTCTTTTATTCTGCTCTGGAAACATGCTATATTTAATTGTATGTTTTTGATTTATTGTTAGAAATGTCCCGAATTCTCAATGATTATTACACTAAAAGCATTTTGCTTTACTTAGGACTTCTTTAAAATCTCCTATCACAATTTGGCGCTGGAATGGACTTGTTAACATAACTAATGTTTTCTCTCTTTCAGCAACGTCTGTTAAAATAGCTATATGCTTCACAATTATTATCAACAAGAGCTTGACAACTCCATGTAAAGCCCACACCAGTGACAACAGACATCTTGTACAATGAGACTCACTTTCCATGGTTCTCTCCAAAACAGGAACATTTGTGGCATATACTCTGTTGGTGACAGGATACCTGTCAATAATGTGTTGCAATGCGACATAAAAGAGAAAAAGCAGAAAATAAATTCAGAGTTGCAGATATTGAAAGATCAACATTTCTCTTTACACTACCTCTTCCAGTTCTTCTACTGGAGCTGTTAATCTCACCTTGGTGCATGCATCCCAGGACCAGGCGGAGCAAGGGGCATGCTATTGAAGGTATAGAACATCATACCCCCTGGATCACTACTTGGCTTTCCCTATACTCCCTTTTTACCAGCTAGTTGTGACAGTGGGTACCTCCCTAGCTAATTCCCCTTGTTTTCATACAAATACCAATGCTGTACCTTGTCTTGTTTGACATTTGGTCACACTCTGTTGTGTCCCTGCCCTGATCTACCTCCTTTTTGTCCGCAGAAATGTGCTTACAGCTTTCCATTAATTTTAATCTATAAACTGATTTGAAAGTAGTTTCCCTTTTTTTTCTGGCTATCATAATTTGTAGAGCATGGGTAAAGCATGCTCTTTAAAGTCAACAAGTAAAAGTTTTAGGTCTCATAAGACAAGCTCTAGTCAAGAGATGATGTGGATGAGCAAAAGCAAATAGAAAATGTCAACAATTTGATACGGGATTTTTTTAATACAGTGAATGAAGTATTTAAAGGCACATCAGGGAGTTAGAAACACAACTCTGGCTAATGGCACTGGGAATTGTCCTTCTAAAAAGTTTTGAAAATGTTGATATGTAATTTTAAAATTATTTTTCTGTATTTTTTTAAGTTGTCCCCCCCCAATTCTGTTTGGGCATGACAGATGGAAGTTAAATTTCTGAATAACTGAGTACCACTGAGAGAGGATGAGACAGGGAGGAAATTAAAATATATGCACTGGGAATTTGCGTGTTGAATATTGCTCTGGATGAACAAATGGAAATTTGCTGCCAGTTACATTAAAAATTCTTTCTAGTACATAATTTTTTTAATCATTCTAAATTTAAGTATTTAAAATAAAACATCCTAAATTTCAGTATTTAAAAAAAATTAAAAGTGTTTCAATTACAAGAAATTACATTTGAAACATTTCAGGTATCAAAAATCAAATGTTTTGGTGTGATTTCTTCACATTAATTATATTAAGGGAAGTAAATAATGAAGAAAAGTGTAATTACAAAAGTGTAATGAAGAAAAGTGTAACTACAGAAGTGTCATGAAGAAAATGTTTTCAGGGCTCTGAGTGCAGCAACAGGTCCTGCAACCTCCTCCCCTCTTCCCTAAGGCTTTGGCTGCCTGTCCTGAAGACCAGCTCTGACACGGTGCAGCCATAACCTGGGGTCAGGGCAGAGCTGTGAGATGCTGTGTTGGAGGCCCGTGCCCTCAGCTCCAGAGCAGAATTTCAGCTCAGGTCCATGCCCCAGCACCCTGTCTGAGCAACGCTGTAGCCATGCCTGTGCTCAGCACCGCACCTCGCTGCTCCTAATTTTGCTGACTTGCCTTAGGGAGTCACCTCAGCTCTGCCCATTCCTGCAGGCTGCTCTGGCCATCCCTTGGCTGTGGCAGGCCCTGGTCACCATCCTTGTCCTCACTCTGCTCTTTTGGCTGGGTGCTGTGAGACTGCGCTGTGTTGGGGACAGCACTGCTCTGTCCCTCACCGTTAACATCAGCTCTGGGCTCGCCTGCCCTCACCCAGCTGCTGCTCCTGCTGCTGCCTGACTAACAAAGATCTATAGTGTTCCTGGGATACTCCTAAAATGAAATACAGCTGTGAAAAGAAGCGTAAAGCAAAAAAATAAAAACGTTTTTAGTAATCTTTAGGAAAACTACAAAGGAAAATTGTCAGTTATTTTCCAGAGTGAGTAAGCAAACTTTATCAGGAACTTTCCTGAAACTCTGCATATAGTTTTGTTTTAATCTTTCATTTTAAAAAATATTTTTCATAATTCATAGCTTGGAACAGTATTTCTGCTGACGTGACGACCAACTGCCTTCGCACAGCAGGTAGGAACCAAATGAAATACACTATTTCTTAGAACTGATATTAGGAACGCAGTTCACTTGGCTAATTTAAGTGAACAGTCTACACAAAACAAACTGAAAGCTCAAAATTTAGTGTACATAAATAGACTCACAGCTTCTGAAAATGCTCCGTGCAATTTCAGGACAATAAATACCAAGTGAATTGTACTGTCCTGGTAGAAAAACTCCCCGGTGCCTGACGAGATCTATAAACCCTAAGCCTGGAAGCACAAATTACTCCTGTAAAAAGTTGCAATAGCTGTGATTCTTAAGACTGTTTTGTTGTTGAATAAGGCTGCCCGAAGCCCACAAAAATGTGAAGAGAGGTGTCATCCAAACCTAGGTCGTTTGCACAGTAATTCGGAAATTGTATCAATCCATTTTAGAACAGGTGTCTTGTCATTCACACAGAAAAGGGTAACTTCAGTCTTGTCCTTATCTAGGAATAGCAACGTTTTAAAGGGGGGTAAAAAACAAACAAAAAAAAAAGGGGG